CCTACCCCGGAGCTGAGAGCTTGTCATTAGCATAGTTACCACAGAGCCAGCCCTGCGGACAAGAGGCTCTCTGTGTAACGAGGCTTTGATAGCGACACAAGCGCTTACAGAAGGCCAGCAGAGCCCGCACAGCCCGGCTCTCAGGGGCCGAGTGGAGCCACAGACACACAGGACGAGTCAGGGGGAAACGCCAACATCAACAGCAGTCAATACTCAGAGAAAAGCACCATTGAGAACCTCCACAAAGCCCTGAGAGTACAGAGTAAGCTAGCAGAAAAGAACGCACTCTATTCGGCAGTGCTCCCAAACCGGTCTGACGGGTCTGGTGCAGGTCTACATCAGATCAGTTGGAGCGGCGTTTTCGAGGGATGGGTATCTTTCGGAGACACATGTGTGAATGAAGGGGACGAAAAACCACGTTTTATTCTAGTTGGAGTACATACACCAATGCAAAGAGACACAATTTAATACTAAAAACAGTAAATCATTGCAGTTTTGAATATCCTTTCTGTGTAAAATAAAAAATATTTAGCTATTGTACTTACCGATCACTCCCTGTTCTCAAAATGTTTTGTGAATTCACTTCTGTAAAAACTATAAAAAGAAGAGAGAAAAAAAAGGTCTGAAAGTGAAGTGCATTTGGGAATCAAAAAAAGTAGAACAAACGCAGGAGGTCAGGTGTTTTGTCCGAGGATCCGTGGGAAAATATAAGGAACAAAGAGGACTTCTCCAGTGGCATCGCTTTGTTTTGGTCAAATGATAAAATAATCCCGGATTCAACAGATTTAAACAATTCGTCCAGTATCAAAAGAATCATCAATTACAGCCCGAGATCAACCAGAGATGATCCTGTGCTTATAGACGATATACTGTATGTGTTCTTTAAAACATTTTTAAAATAGTTTAAAAATTACCTTTTTAAATTACCTGAAAATATTAAACACATTTTTCAATTTTTAAAAAACACAATAATTTTGCTTTTTCCCGTTGGAAAATCTTGTTTTAAAGCTAAGTCAGAATGTGCTCAGGTTATTTGTCATCACTTTTTGCAGTGTATCTACATCTTGTACGTGTCTCCAAAAAACGTGTCACGCTCACAAAACATAAATTCTTAGTTAAATACAATGGACATGTCTGTAAAATTTATCTTCAAGTTGTATATTTAAATGTGTTACTTTATATCTCTGTGCAGCACTTTGGAAACTTGTTTTATAAAATGTGTTATTTTGATAAAGTTTGGATTGGAAAAGGTACATCTATTTTTTATTTGTTATTTAAAAAAGATGGAGCCAAAACTAGCCACATTTTACCCACAAGACAGACTTCATTCTGCTCTCTGATTGGATAATCTACTTGAGAATCATGAAGACACATTTTACAGACATGTCCATTGTTTTTAACTAAGAATTGAATACTATTTTAATTTTCAGTTTAAACGTTCAGAAAAGGCCATATATATGTTTTGTGGGCGTGACACGTTATTTGGAGACACGTCAAAAAGCGATGAAAAATAACCTGAGCACATTCTGACGGAGCCTTAAAACAAGATTTTCCAACGGGACACAGAAAAATGATCTTGTTTGAAAAAGACAAAAGAAATGTCTGCCTTGGAATGAGAAAATAAATCTACAGTTCTTGAAATAAAATAAATGGTTTTGTCCCATTGGTAAATCTGGTGGCCGTGTTTGTAATATTTTCATTTGACAAAATTTTACACGGTCCTTTTAAAACTATTTAAAAAATGTTTTAAAAGGATACATATTGTAATCTACAGCATCATATGTTTAAAAAAAAATATATATAAAAAGTAAAACAAACAAAAAAAGTTTCTCCCCAGCAGGTGGATTGCATCAGTAAAACGTGCTCAGATGTGTCACAGGAGGAAGACTGCGGCAACAACGGTGTGATTGTAGTGACTTTAATCGACCACTAAGAGTAAATATCACGGTCTCTTTGTAAAAAACAGCAGAGAATGCAGAGTCTGAGTCACCGTGTGCAAAAACCTCAACAGGAAAACTATTGTTGGAGCCGGATCAGACCCGACACCGCAGCCACACTGCTCTGCACTCACTACATCATCACATAATATACTGCAGGTTTTCATTCATTCATTTGAGCAAGATCTGGCAATGAGACAACATTTCTCATTCTGAAAAGGAGATATTTCTAGTAATTTTTTTGTAACATTTTCAACAAGTCAAGTCGGCAAATCTGGTTTTAAAGGCAGTAAAAAAAACATAAATTTTGCCAACTTATTTTTCTTTTTTAATCATTAGTTCACACTTTTTCCCCGTAGTACGTACCAGAAAACGAGACATATTTTATTTATTTTATATTTTTCCTTTTTTCCCACTATGCTCCCCGTGTGTCAAAAGGTAATAAAGACACAAGGAAATAAAACAATAAACAAAATGAAAATATATAGAAAAATGTAAACAATCCCGTTTTTTACTTGTTTTTCATGAGTTTTTGCGTTTCTCGGTTTAGACTCGAGAATGTGTGTTCTGTCGTTCTGAGAAGACGTTTACTACAATTTACGACAATCGTCTTTCTAGGTTCTAACCACATTTCAGTTTTGTGCTGTCGTCAAAAACAGACTTGTGGTTGATCTTACAGTCTCGCACAAGTTAAATATAAGGAGCAAACTCGTCCCCCCGCACCTTCTGTCTAAATCTTCAGTTTTCAAATGTAGACAATAAGGTTTTTGTATTTTTTAGTGCATCTATAGCCCTGTCTCTACTCTACTCTACTCACAGTTAGAACACTTTAGTACCAGCTCGGCCTGGATAGAACCAGGACCAAGAGGGACTAAAAACTGACCTGGTACTGGTTTAACAGGGCAGGTGGAACAGCTAACGATCAGGGGAGAGAAAAAAATTGGTAGAGTAGAGTAGGGTAAGATGTGGTAAAGTAGAGTAGGGTTAGGTAGATTAGAGTAGAGTAAGGAAAGGTAGAGTAGAGTATGGTAGGGTAGACTAAAGTAGAATAGAGTCAAGTAGAGTAAGAATTGGTAGAGTACAGTAGGGTTAGATACCGTAGAGTAGAGCAGAGTTAGGTAGAGTAGAGTAGAGTAGGGTATGGTAGAGTAGGGAAAGGTAGAGTAGAGTATGGTAGGGTAGAGTAAAGTAGAATAGAGTCGAGTAAAGTAAGAATTGGTAGAGAAGAGTAGGGTAAGATACGGTAGAGAAGAGTAGGGTAGAGTGGAGTAAAAATTGGAAGAGTAGAGTAGGGTAGGGTAGAGTAGAGTAGGGTAACATACCGTAGAGTAGGGTTAGGTAGAGTAGAGTAGAGTAGGGTAAGGTAGAGTAGAGTAGGGTAGGGTAAGGTAGAGTAGAGTAGAGTAGAGTAGGGTAAGGTAGAGTAGGGTAAGGTAGAGTAGAGTAGAGTAGGGTAAGGTAGAGTAGAGTAGGATAAGGTAAAGTAGAATAGAGTGGAGTAGAGTAAGAATTGGTAGAGTAGAGTAGGGAAAGATAGAGTAGAGTAGGGTAAGGTATAGTAGAGTATGGTAGAGAAGAGTATGGTAGGGTAGAGTAAAGTAGAGTCGAGCCAAGTAGGGCTGGTGGAAATGAGGCTATATCTATTATACTCTGGAAAACCTCTGAAATCACCGCAGCCATTGAGCGCAGACTTATGTCCAATTACAGCTGGGTTTGAAACCAGAACGCTGCTGCTACCTTTTCTGTGGTCTCGCCTTTGAAATCCCACCACAACAATCTTTGCCTTTGTACGACAGACGGATGCCTCCCCAGATATTTGCCAACCTCGGTGACAATGCGGCTCTACAAACTTAGCTCTAGCTTTGTTCAGCAGAAGTTATAAAAAGAGACTGAAGTAACTTTGTCTTGGGCCGCGTTGTAAACATGTTTATCCCAAAGTCACTCAACTCGTGAGCGTTAGAGGATTTTGTGCTTTCAGGAGCCGCCTCCAGGCCAAAGACATCTGTTTGCAGTAATGCTGTAAGATGCATAAAAATGTAGACTATTCCACTTGGTTATGACCGTGATGTTGGTCAGAAAAGGCAAGACGTACACACAGGACTCAGGACTTTATTTTATACTACTTTATTATTATTAACCCTAAACAAGCATCGATGTGTTGTCTTTTGCTGGTGGTACCCTACTCTACCAAACCAAACCAAACCTGTATCTGGAGAGATTCTGAGGCAACCATAGCTTCCAGCAGCCCTTTGACCAAACACTCACAGTTAGATCCAGGACTCAGGCTGTAGATCCTGGAGTATTTGTGCTGTGATATAATGTACTATAATACAAAATCTACTTAATCCATTCATGTAATCCAGGTTGTCCACAGAGCTGCTCACAGCGAGAGAATTGAGCTTTGTCAATGACGCGATTATGGTCTTTGACGATCTTTCTGACGGTCTTTCTGACGGTCTTTCTGACGGTCTTTCTGACGGTCTTTCTGACGGTCTTTCTGACGATCTTTCTGACGATCTTTCTGACGGTCTTTCCGACGGTCTTTCTGCCGGTCTTTCTGACGGTCTTTCTGACGGTCTTTCTAACGGTCTTTCTGACTGTCATTCTGACGATCTTTCTGACGATCTTTCTGACGATCTTTCTGACGGTCTTTCTGACGGTCTTTCTGACGGTCTTTCTGACGGTCTTTCTGACGGTCTTTCTGACGGTCTTTCTGACAATTTTTCTGCGGTCTTTCTGACAATTTTTCTGCGGTCTTTCTGACGGTCTTTCTGACGATCTTTCTGACGGTCTTTCTGACGGTCTTTTTGACGATTTTTCTGCGGTCTTTCTGACGGTCTTTCTGACGATCTTTCTGACTGTCATTCTTGTAATGTATGCATCATATGGCTAGTGCGCAACTGCATTTATGTCCCTGGGGCTACCCGTAGGGAGAACTGGTGAAATAAACACACTTGAAGTAACGCTCCTCCGGCTCTTGTACATGAGTCAGTAATACGAATTCCTTTAAGTATTTTACATGGTGTCAGAAGTGTGTCGAGAGCAGTAAGTACCTGCGTGACCATGACAATGCAGTTTGAATTCCCCAAAATAGACTGGGAGGCGGCGGATTTATATCAGGAGTTCCAGCGGTTCCGCAGCCATGTTGGCTTCGTGTTCGCCGGTCCTCTGTCCGCGCGGGAGAACAAGGAAAAGGCGGGGTGGATTGGTACATGGATCGGGGAGCAAGGAAGAGAAATATACAAGACACTCCAGTGGGCTGATGGTGAAAAAGACGACCCTGATAAAGTGCTTGACAAGTTTGCAGGCTATATTAGACCGAGGAAAAACAAGAGGATCGCCAGGCACCGTTTCAAACAAAGAAAACAGGGTTCAACAGAAACATTTGACAACTTTGTGAAAGATTTGAGACTTTTATTACTGGACTGTGAGTATGCTGACGCAGATGACATGCTAGTTGATGCCATCATAGCGGGCGTGAGAGAGAAACGTGTCCAGGAGAGACTGCTTGAAAAAGGTGAAGAGCTAACGCTAGCCAAAGCCATTGAAATTCCCCAGCAGTTCGAAATGTCTCAAACGCAGATGAGAATTGTGAGAGAGGAGGATTCACAAGTGTCTGCTTTGTCAAGCAAAGTCAAGTTTAACGCACAAAGCAAAAAGGCATACAACCACGTTCAGCAAGAGTACACACCAACAGGACAAAAATATAAAAGCTGTGGAAAATGTGGAAAAGACCCCAAACACAAGTGGAACCAAGGTAAATGTCCAGCAAAAGGCTCGATTTGCTCATGCTGTAACAAGCCAAACCACTGGGCGGCGGTGTGTCGCAGTCGATCAGTAAGTGCAGTGAATGTAGAATCATCAAGTGAAAGTGAAGAGGAAATACTCAACATTAACCTGACAACAGATGCCATTCCAGTCGCAATACTGGCAGATGATAAGTGGTTGGTGGACACATACATATTGTGTCAGAAGGTGCAGTTTAGGATAGATACAGGTGCAAAGTGTAACACACTGACTCTGAACTGTTACCAGTCCATAAAGCACACAGGTGAGCTCAAAGCATCAAAAAGGTTGCTCAAAACCTATTCAAACCACAAAATAAAGCCTGTTGCTGCAGTCGACCTTCTGCTAAAACACAAAGGGCACAAAACCAAAGCAGAATTTGAAATCGTGGACATTGCACAAGAAAATGTGTTGAGTGGCACTACAGCTGAGGCACTAGGTCTTATCGTGAGGCTGGATTCTTTACAAGATAGTGGGGTAAATAACAAAGTGAGCACCGACACAGTCCCAAAAGCACCCGATGGTCTGGAGAACTTTCCAGAGCTGACTCGCACAACAGGAACACTACCAGGGAAGTACACAATAAAGATTGATAAAGAGGCTAAACCTGTCGTACACCCTGTGCGTAGACAGCCAGTCGCACTCAGAGCCAAGATAATTGAAAAGCTAAATGAGATGGTGCATGACGGCCACATTACTAAAGTAAACGAGCCAACTGAATGGGTCAGTTCTATGGTGGTGGTCACAAATAAAGATAAAATCAGAATCTGCATCGATCCGAGTGATTTAAATAATGCTATGAGACGAGAGCACTATCCAATGCGCACAATAGAAGAAGTTGTGTCAACCATTCCCAATACAAAGGTGTTTTCTGTACTAGATGCAAAGTCAGGCTTTTTGCAGATCGAGCTGGACGAGGCTTCATCACTCCTGACTACATTCAACACTCCAATAGGAAGATTCAGATGGCTGAGACTACCATTTGGAATAAAATGTGCACCTGAGATATTTCAACGCATCATGGACCAAATGCTGGAGGGCATCAAAGGAGCAACTGGCATTATGGACGATATTCTCATTGCAGCACCAAGCCTGAAAGAACATGACCAGATATTGAAAAAGGTTGTAGAGAGAGCAACAAGCTACAATCTGAGACTAAACTTTAACAAATGCCACGTTCGGCAGTCAGCAGTGCCGTATGTAGGACATTTAATAACAGCTGAAGGACTGAAACCTGACCCAGCAAAAACTGAGGCTGTAAGGTGCATGCCGCCACCTACAGACAAGGAAGGCGTCCGACGCTTCCTGGGATTTGTAACATACCTGTCAAAGTTCATCCCAAACCTCAGTGAAATAGATGCGCCGTTAAGACAACTCACAAAAAGCGATGTGGAGTTTGCATGGCAACCAGCACAACAGCAGGCATTTGATAAGCTCAAGCATGTTTGTACACATCACCCTGTGCTGAAATTCTATGATGTGTCAAAACCAGTGGAAATATTCTGTGACGCAAGCAGCACTGGACTTGGAGCTGTGTTGGTGCAGGATGACCAGCCGGTGGCCTTCTCCTCAAGATCGATGACCGACGCAGAGACTCGTTACGCGCAAATTGAGAAGGAAATGTTATCCATTGTCCATGCATGCACCAAGTTTCACCACTACATATTTGGGAAACATGTCACAGTATACAACGATCACAAGCCACTTGAGGACATTTACAAAAAGTCGCTGTTGTCCACACCAATGCGTATCCAAAGAATGCGTTTGAGGCTCCAGTGGTATGACATTACAGTTAAATACAGGAGAGGCAAAGACATGGAGTTACCAGACACGCTGTCCCGAGCACAACTCTCTGACAAAACGCCAGAGGCAGGAACTCTTGAGTGTGTCTCTATGATCAACTTTCTGTCTGTAAGCAATGAGAAATATATGGAGTTACAGACTTGCACTAACAATGAGTTGAGTCTCCTCCGACAGGTCATCCAGGAAGGCTGGCCGGAAAACAGGCGTGATGTGCCCATTCCTGTGCAGCCATACTGGGACTCAAGAAGTCAGCTGGCTGTAACTGATGGTGTTGTGTACAAAGGTATGCGTATTGTTATACCCCCCAGCATGCAAAAGCACATGCTCGGTCTCATACATCACTCCCACCAGGGAATGGTGAAAAGCAAGCAGCGCGCACGGGAAGTGTTGTATTGGCCAGGCATGGGGGCCGAGATCGAAAGCATGATAAAAAACTGTTCAAAATGCGCTGAAACTCAAAACAGACTCCCAAAACAACCACTAATGCCAACAGAAACACCTGAGCTACCATTTGAAGTTGTAGCGTCAGATTTGTTTGAGTTTGAGGACAAGCAATATGTCGTACTAGTGGACTATTATTCCAAGTACATTGAAGCAGATATGCTGAAGGATCAGCGCAGCCGCACTACTATTGAAGCGCTAAAAGCTCAGTTCAGCCGGCATGGCATTCCAGCGATCTTGAGAACCGATAATGGCCCCCAGTACGCATCAGAAGAGTTTAGGGAGTTTTGTAACAGCTATGGTATTCAGCATAAAACGTCTTCGCCACACACACCACACTCCAATGGTGAAGCAGAGCGAGCAGTGCAAACAGTAAAGAGGCTCTGGAGCAAAGCACCTGACAAACACCTTGCTCTATTAGACTACAGAACGACTCCGCTTGAATCAGTTGGACTGTCACCTGCTCAGCTGCTCATGGGTAGGAGGCCTCGCAACAAACTGCCAACTGCACGTGCTCTACTCAAGCCCATGAGCTACGACTCTCTTAAAGTAAAAGTTCTTCTGGACAAGACAAAGCACACCCAGAAACTCTATCATGACAGGAGAGCAACACGTCCTCGTCCGGATCTAAAGCCGGGGGATGAAGTCAGGATGGCACCTCATCCTGGCAAACACAATTGGTCCCCTGCAGTAGTTGTGCAGCCCCACAGTGCTCCACGCTCCTATGTGGTGGACAGCGGAGGTAAGCTGTATCGGCGTACAAGCCAACATCTCCGCAACAGCACTGCAACTGCCAACCAGCCACGTCACGTCACACCTGATGAAGAGCCCTGGCGTGAACCACCAGTGACATCAGCAGCTGAGCAGCAGTCTCCTACTGTCGCCCCGGAATCACCAGGTTCACCCTCTGTGGTCCCCCAATGTCCACAAATACAAGCAGGAGGGCAGTATCATACCAGACGGGGCAGAGCGGTGAAACCACCTGATAAGCTGAACTTGTAAAATGATCACACTTCTAATTCATTGGTTGTGTTTACTTGGTTGAAAAAAAAAAAAGTTAAAGTTTGTTGTGGTTTTATTCACACAAGAAAAGTTTACTGTTAATAATAATTAATGCACTTTTGTTCAGCAGATATTCTTTAATGTGTATTGTTATTACTGAGGAAGGGGGATGTAATGTATGCATCATATGGCTAGTGCGCAACTGCATTTATGTCCCTGGGGCTACCCGTAGGGAGAACTGGTGAAATAAACACACTTGAAGTAACGCTCCTCCGGCTCTTGTACATGAGTCAGTAATACGAATTCCTTTAAGTATTTTACAATTCTGACAATCTTTCTGACGATATTTCTGACGGTCTTTCTGACGGTCTTTCTGACGGTCTTTCTGACAATTTTTCTGCAGTCTTTCTGACAATTTTTCTGCGGTCTTTCTGATGATTTTTCTGCGGTCTTTCTGACGGTCTTTCTGACGATCTTTCTGACGGTCTTTCTGACGACCTTTCTGACGACCTTTCTGACGACCTTTCTGACGACCTTTCTGACTGTCTTTCTCATAGTTTTTCTGATGGCGTGGAAATTCTACTGCTTGTATTCTAACCACTAGTTACATGGTCCTATTATTGACAACAATGAAATATATGATGATTATAACCTCATTATGATAATTATATACACAAGGCTGAGGTTGGATAAACCTGATTGATTCTGACTCCGCGGATTGCGTTTTGAACGTCATCTGTGATTGCATCTCTCCTTCACTTTGAGTTTTTTTTTTTTGGAGTTGGGGTCAGGGGCAAGCTCTATCAGAGGCAGGAAATTAAAACAAACATGTTTAAAGCAGAGAAGGAGACGGAAATATGGAGCCAAAAGATCCTGTGTTTTCTTTTTACGTTTCTGTAAAGTTTATTTATCGCTCGTGTTTAGCGTACGTGGCTATTGTTTTTTATAATATGAAAGTATTTTGTATATTTTTATTCTATTGATAATGGTTTTTGATGTTGATTTTGAGTTTTGCTTAGATTCAATCAAAACTGGACAAAAGGTTTAGGCTCAGAGTAATGTAGACAGATTAAGGTTTTTGATAAATTAATACGGGGAAAAGTCTGGGGGCCGCATAGAAATGTCAACCGGACCGTATGTGGCCCCCAACCTGCAGTTTGCCCAGGTCTGCTCTAGAACATATCAAATTGCTTTCTTCCTGTAATTATTGATAAATGAGTTGGTCAAAAGTAAAATTGACTGAACGTTGTCTTACATTTGTTGAGTTTTAAAAAGAACCAACAGTCCGATAGAAATCCCAATCCTCTTTTAACTTCTCTCCATGCTGTTCCAATCCCAACGGAAACTCACAAACTCGGAAAGTCTGAGCACAACACTTCCATTTTACAGAGTTGATATTTTGTTTCTCTGTTTTGAAAATCTGTCAAAAAGTTGTGTTCCCTTGTTTAGTTATCAGCAGTGAATTTGAAAGAATTTGCTCAAGAAGTTGTGACACTTTATTTGTGTGGCGCTAAATATATCTAGCGTTTTGTGAAGTACTCGTTAAAGGGTAAATTGCAAGACCAAGATACTTTTCTAATGACACTTTTGCAAATTTGGCCCTAAATATATAGTCGATATAGTAATCATTTTTGACAAACACACATAATCCAAACACATAGGTTGTCGTTTTAAGAAATCCTTTCGTTTCTGACATGACATTGGCTCGGGATCCACACTGATAATCGTTAACGCCGTTCAACAGAGCAGACATGCGTTGCCACGGTGACCAGACGGTGATTGTGAAGAGCAGGGCGAGACGATCCGAGGGGGCAGACTATTTCCTGGGTACGACCATAGAGTGAAGATGAGGAATGGACTGACTGAGAGTGACGTTAACCACAGTGCTAGGCTCAATGATGAAGAAGCCGATTTGAACCAAAGCTAGCTGCAGTCAATTTCCTTATATGGGCAAAGGTGTTGCTAAGGTGGTTGCTACGACAAACAACTCTTTATCCCTTTTTATCAACCCGATTGGTTGATATAGAGCGTGCAATGTAAGTCAATAGGAGCCAGAGCGAGTTGGAGCCAAACTTTGTCCATGAGCACTTCCCTTTTGGGGTTTCATTAAGCTAGCGGGTTAGCATTGTCCCTGTATCTATATATAGTCTATGGGTGTGACGTCGGACTGTTTCGCCCCCAGACACTGGCAAAACGTACCCAAAACCGCGGAAACTCCGACTCACGCCTCCAAAGGCATTTTCCATATACAGTACTTGGTCAAAGCAAGAAGCAAAGTTATAGAATAAAACCAAACAGCTACACAGTATGAATGAATCTCACAGAGGCCATTTATAAAAGCGATAACTTCAAGCCACATTTGTTAGAAATATTTCCAAAGATTGTGTACACTACACTGGGGTGAGCAACTTTTAAAAAATAAAAATAAAATAGTTGCTTGCTCTCAAAACATTTTTCTCATTCATGCATCTTTGTCCTCTGTCACTTCTTTGGACCAGCTTTTTCAGACAGATGAAAGGGAGAAGCCCGCCCTCCCTCAGCCAATCGGCTCTCAGCTCTTAAAAGTATACAAACAATAACAGGTTTTCTACTAAGACCGACCACTTTGTTATGGTCTGATAACTTTTTACTTTTAAAGGGACTCTTTCTGGTTGCGATGAATATGTACCATTCCTGGAGAACAAAAGGGTAAGTACCTCAGCATTAATCAGAAAAATAATTGCTCCAACCAACTATTAAAGTAGTTGTTAATCATCACATTGTACATCACAATATAAGTGAGTCATATCAATCGATATCAATAATTATCGATTGTTTAAAAAAAAAACCTTAATACATTTGTCGTGTCGGCTAACACACGTTAGCAGCCCATATTTAGTCACAGGGGAAGGACAATGACAGTCCTGGTTTAGTCCTGGTTTAGCTCCCGGTTTGGCCGTTTGAGTGCCGCTCGGCTGCGATAGGTCGAGAAGCCTCCGCCTACATCCCCCAGAATGCCGCATGCTTCCGACTCGGACGTTTTCTGTGTTTTCTTCCTGTTTTTTCTAACGGTGTGAAGTTGAACTATCGAACATTCTGTCGTCCCTTTTTTCTATTGCTATCGAACACGTGCATCGCGATATGTATCGTTATCGTTTTATCGCCCAGCCCTAATTCAATGTATTTTTCTTTAGCCCTAAATCACAGCAGTAGTTAATCTCTGAGGACTTTACAAAGTTGTTGATTCAGCAACAACAGATTACTGGGTTTTTAGAGTTGTTTTGGCGATGCAGGAGGGTCTGAGGACAGTGGTGATGATTTAAGAACATTTATTTTTACATTTATTTTACATTAATGGACATTGGTCTCTGCCTCTTATGGATCAATGGCTCTATGTGTTTAATACCACTGCATTTCATGTTTGAACTGTTTGTTTCTCTGATCTGTTTTTTGCGAATCGACAGCTTTGTAAAGTCCTCTGAGATAACTACTGTTGTGATTTAGGGCTATAGAAAAGTAAATGTAATTGAATTGAACTGAATCAAAAGAATCAAACACAGGAAATGCAATAATAAGACAATATCTGGAGAGGAGAGCTGAGAGAGAATTCAGGTCTTCAGCCATAAACGCTACAATAATCAAAGAATGTGAAGATTCCAAGTGGGAGACGGACATCATTAGAAAAGCTGTACAGTAAATCTGTATCTGAGTGTACATTTTGTCTTCTCTCCGAGCGTGACTGGACTCGTGCCCTGTCAAAACAAAATAAAGTGAAAGTCGTCTGCGGTGAGGAGGCGCACGTGAGGCGGCGAGAAAGAACAGGTCCCACCAAACTGTTCAACACGACAACATTACACAATCTATGTACACAGGGCACAGCGACAAAAACACACATGCAAGAGGGCCGCAGGTTTGGACGCATGTGAACAGGCGCAAACGGGAACTACTGATCATGTGAATGTGGTTTGGAAGTGCCTGAAGAGTTTTAAATCACAAAAAACATTGCTTCTTTAAGAAAAATAGACCTAGAGATGTTTTTTAAAATCTGCATCCACTACCACTATTACTACCACTACTACCACTACTGCAAATAGGCACAAGCAATAAACTGTCTATATCAGACCTGGGCAAAGTGTGGCCCGGGAGCCTTGTACGGTCCGATTCATGTTTCCATCTGGCCCTCAGACCATATACCATGAACGGTAAGAAAGAATGTGCAGCATGTTTGTTAATCTCTATTGATTTAGACTAAGACATCCTTTATCAGACCCAGTTACAGAACAGTAGGAATGAGGAGCTCAAAGCAAAAGATACGTGAACAATAACAACTGTACTAAAATCAAAATCAATCAACTTTAGCATAATGGAGAAGCATGTATAACATCTCTAGCTTTAGCATTATAATGACGCAATTCTAAAATCACTAGCTTTAGCGTAAAAAGGAAGCCAGTATAAAATCTCCAACTTTAGCGTCAAGTGAAGAAGCAAGTATAAAATCACTAGCATAATAAAGAAGCCTGTATAAAGTCACTAGCTTTAGCATAATAAAGAAGCTAGTATAAAATCACTAGCTTTAGCATAATAAATAAGACAGTATAAAATCACTAGCTTTAGCATAATAAAGAAGCCAGTATAAAATCACTAGCTTTAGCATAATAAAGAAGCTAGTATAAAATCACTAGCTTTAGCATAATAAAGAAGCCAGTATAAAATCACTAGCTTTAGCATAATAAAGAAGCCAGTATAAAATCACTAGCTTTAGCATAATAAAGAAGCAAGAATTAAGTATAAAACATGTGACTTTAGCCCAATAAAGAAGCCAGTATCATTTAAGATACTACAAATACAATTAGTCATTTTTTATTTGCA